ATAACACAAAATGAGATATATATATATATATATATATATATATATATATATATATATATATATATACAGTATATATATATATATGAAACTCTTTAAATATGCTGTTTATTCATCTTTCTTCTGACAGTCTTACTAAAAGGATGAACAGAAGATCTGCTATGAAGGCGTCTGCGGTGAGATGATCACCGTTATTTACAGTGTGTTTCTGCATGTAGAGATGTTTCCTACAGCCGCTATGAGCCATACAGAGATATGAAGAGTACAGGACACCTGATTCTATAGTTCTGCATCCAGTAAACAGTTCATCTAAATATTAAAGTCAGTGCAGTTACTCTATCAGATTATAAACATGAACTCATCTCCTTCTGTCGCTGTAGATGTCTGATCCCAGTGAAGACACATATACAGCTCTTGAGCTCAAGTCCACGACCTCTGACCTGTACGACACACTCACAGTAAGTGAGACGTCAAAGTCAGATCATCATCACAGATGATCACATGACCGATCTCTCGCTGTCTTCCACACAGACCGTTCGTCCCAGACCTCCTGAAGACTCTTGATCCTAAACATGAGAATCCATCAGTAAGTGTCTGAACTGCAGCTCCTCTCCATATAATCAATACAACTCTCTTCAGTTCTAGTTTGATTGTTTTATGAAGCGTGTGGAAGGTTTATAATGTTGCTGATGAACTTCAGTCAGTCGTTCTTCTTGTTGTTTCTTCAGATCAACAGGAAGATGCTGCAGTGAGAGGCGGAGCACAAAGGAACCAATCCTGAGCTCTGTGGGCGGAGCCACACATGATTGACAGCTGTCATTACTGAAGAGTTGATGAAGCCTTTTATTTCTTTATAGTTTAGGAAAGATGATGTAACAGTGAAATTAAATGAGTGTTATTGTATAGAAATAGATATAGAAATGTTAAAGTGAAGTAAGCTCACTGTTTTAACATTTTAAAATATCTTGTCCTGCAATATTTTAAATGTACATCTTCACAATGAACAATGTATTGTTTTTTTTGGTCTGGAATCATATTCTATATTGTAACCACACACACCTGCTTTCTTCCTTATTTGTCTGTATATGTTGTGGTATCTAGTCCTGTTAAACATACAGTGTTTTGTCTGTATTTCAGCAGTCAGGTGTTTCTCATCAGTAGCTCTAGCTGGTGCTGCTGCTGCTGTCGGTGTTTTACTCGGTGGAGCATCCGGTGCTTTCGTGATGTACATTTGGTAAGACGTTCCTTTCAGAAATAACTGCTGTATGTTTGCAGGGTTAAAATATACTTGTTTACCACGGATGCATGTATAACAGTTAAAAACTGCAGTTATTCCAGTAAGGGATGTGTGTGATTTCGTAAAGTTATGTTAATTAATGAATTTTTGAACATTTCTAAACAACATTTGTAGTGGCAGAGACTCCTGTTTGTCTACCACATGGGAAACGCCATTGACCAGTGTTTAACTCGTGCTTCCTCTTCAGTAAAATCCCAAAGTTGCTGGCACTCCGACATAACACCATTATATGCCGATGGTGCCACCTCCTATAGAGGACTCGAACACACAAACACACAAGACAACCAGACGAAACAACACTTAATCCAACATATTTCAAATAAACTCAGTATAGATAGTAATATGGCTCCTACAACATTGTTGTAGAAACACGTGGTTGGTCAGTCACTTTAAGTTCATCAATCCTGAATATCTTCAGGTGATTGAATCGAGGCTAAAGCAATATTTTAAATGTACATCTTCACAATGAACAATGTATTGTTTTTTTTGGTCTGAATAATATCAGCTTCAGTTTTCTGTCTGTTGTGTTGCTGTAACTTTCCCTTTAAGTGATCAGTTTTATTTGAGCTCTTCTCGTGTGTTTGTTCAAATCCTCAAACTAGCACCAGAGGTCAGCATCTCTGCTCCTGACATCAACACTGATGTGCATCAGCTGTAAATCACTATTACTCATCTTCATGTGTATGGTGTTTATACTGTACTGTGTTTAAAGTCCTTCATGTGTTTGTATTATAATTCTGAACGCATCCATTCAGCATCTCCTCTGGTTTCTTCAGTCTCTGTTTGCTTTGTCTTCTTACCTCATTATTAGTTGAATGTGTTTACTTGTATATTTCCTGCTTCAGGATGCATCTTTATTAAGAACATTTAAATTATATTTAGATGCGCATCATTTGAATATCAGTTCTGATTGGTCCGTTTCGTAATGAGAGGAGTTTATGCTGTCAGCCTCCTCTGGTTTCCTGAAGTCATTAAAACTCATTTGGGCTTCAGCAAATGAAAGAAAAGTGAAATAAAAATATGTCTTTCTGCACAAGTTCTGCACTTAAGTAAAAAAACTAAAAGGAAAGGGAGCCTCTCCTTAATGAATGCAAAAACATCACTAATCGTGATAATAAATGTGACGTCTGGCTACACAATCCTGTTCTCTAAACATCTTGAGTGAATATGTTTCAATTAACTTACAGAAAAAGATCATAACTTTCTTTAGTTAGTTTTATTCAAACTCAAGTTATTTTGTTCTCTTGTTAAGAGAGGGACTCTGATATTTCTGCAACTATGTAAAAATTAAAAGAGTGTCAACCACTGTGTTAAAACAGTCAGATATGTGTCTGCTGTTGATCTGATGAGCTTCAACACGGTAAGACAAACACATCAGTGCTTTAATGAGAACTGATTACTGTAGATGAAGCTCATGTAACACATGATTCCTGACATAATTTGATCAAAGACCTGATAATGAGTGATTATGAGCAGTTTTCTGTGCGATGTTGAGGAAAC